TATATATATATATATATATATATATATATATATATGTTGAATCATAATTTGTCCGTGAACCACACCTCAATGGTTAAAATGTAAGAAGGGAGAGAGAGAGGAGAGAGAAATGAACAATAATGAAGAATAAAAAGTCATGTTTATGAGTTCCTTCTCATAAAATAACCTCTCTGTTTATATGGAAGAGGATATAGTATATAATATTATATTTCTGACTGGCATTTAGTGGGGGCCGCTATAGGAAATTATGGGTATTTTACATGTATGAGTCTATTGCTCGAATATCATATGACTTGATTGGTTGGGCTAGCGTGACTTCTGCTTAGTAATGTTGATTTTGCTGGCTTGACTGTGTTCGCAGAGTCAGTTAGCTGGATTTGATTAGCTTCATGTCATAAAAAAATAACTCTTTCGACTAGGCTTTGTTGGTCAATTGATTTAGTTAAGCAATCGACTCTCGATCTTTGGAAGAGGAGCTCCTCTGAGCAGAATAAGATTGGGCTATCGAGCAAAGAGTGAGTTATTGTAATCCCATAAATAGCTCACTCATTGACTAAGGAGACTTCCGGGATGATTGTGGAGACCTTCGAGATGATTGCAAGGCTCATATGTACTGTCAATTCTTGCTCCCTGATGAGGATCCTCGGCGGTGTCCATGGGACGGCTGGTGATTATGAGGAATTAAATTCTTTCCTCGTGTCAGATATGTTGAGAAGTATGTTGATGCCTTCGTTAAACTTCTTAGCTCAAGTGCTTATGTACGTCAATCTAGTCCGATAGGTTCAGACCTTAATCATTCTTTTTATTCTTCTCTGGCTCAATTAGCCTTACTTCTTTGCTTGGATGGTTGCATCCAATTGGGTAACTAGGGCATATTGGCCTCCTGTTGACAGACTCCCTTTGTTGTATTTCCTCCCTTCTAGATCATTAGATCTTTTCGGGATTCGTGCTGACACATTCTTGATGTATAATATATATACCACCATACATTGCTCCTCACTTTTTAAAAGACAAAATAGTGAAATTTTTATGTCATAAAAAAATTGGATGGTATTAATGTAAATAAATTCTTGTTGTGATATATGTAAATACATAAGAATTGGGTGCTATATAAATGCCTCTAGATTTAACTATATTTATCAACTATGTTTCACAGAGGAAAAAAAATGTTAATAAATGAATTAAAAAAGAAACGCGTAGAGAGAGAGATAAAAATGAAGCTCAAATCATGTGGAATTTTTTGAGATTCTATTCGGGTTGAATAACAATACTCAAAATAAATAATCAATATTTTTTTACCAATATATATATATATATATATATATAT